GTGGAAATAAACACTTCTAACATATTACTTAAGCACCCAACAGCGTCTGAATTCTGTAAGAATCCATACATGAACAGAAAATAAGAAAAAAAATGAAATGCAAAATGTTGTATGAATGGACGAAGTATATAATCTAACTTATGTTTCGTTATAAGCAAATCAGTTTTTGTGATGGAAAGACTTTTGTGGTGGACGGAAGCAAAGTTTTCTTGCGGTGGAAGCATAATAAATATTCATGGGATTCATTGTTTTCCCATATCAAAGAAATAACTCTCAGATGCAATTTTTTGTTACATGGAAGCATGGTTTTTGGACACAATTTTTTGTTGGATTGCAACAGAAGCAAATTGTGTCATTTGTGGAAACATTTTTTTATTGTGTTGGAAATAAAAATAAATTCCACTGGATACAAGTTTTCCTTACATCAGAGCAATTGATTAAATTACTAGGATCCATAAAATCAATAATATGTTTCTTCTGAAAATAAAAAGGTATGAAATTTTACTAGTATCATATGAGACATCCTTGCTTAATTGAGCGATGGAAGCAGAAGCAGTCTAGACAACTTGGTTCTAAGAAGCAAAGGCTCGTATAAATTAACTGGCTACTAGGACGAGAGCAGTTTCCGGAAGGAAGCATGGTAATCGTAATACTAGGATGAGAGCAGTTATAGGAAGCATCGTAATAAAAGGAGGACGTTACCAAAGAATCTAGCTAACAACATGCGTCCTTCCCGCACAGGATCTAACGGCTTGTGTGCCACTAATCCTACAGCTATGGACTAGTATGATGAAACGCTAGGGATCAGTAGTCTGATCCCTAGTGGTTCCTATCTTATAATTTAAGAGGCTGCAGTACGTGTGTGTTGTACTATGAACTATGGCATAAAAGGGAATCAAGCAACCTCTTATTCCAACATCATCACTTGTCTGTTCTAAAGCATCTGGAAAGGGAACAACATGAACCTTTTGTATTGCTTAGTTCAATGTTCAGGTCAGCAGAAATACCTGTTGTAGTTCCTCTAAAGAAAATTTTGAATGGTAGTGACTGTAGTTACAGCAATATTAACCAGAAGTAATAGAGGAAATCACAGCATGTTGTCCTTGAGATCAATACTGGCCATATAAAATACCTATAGACTGTAAAAATTAAAGTGATACATACCAACAATAACTCTTTAGTCCATGCTAGAACCTGAGTGCAACTTCACGTTAGTAGCTGTAAAGAGTTGCATGTATTATTGCAGTGCTCATTGCCAAATGAGATGAAACTCTTCTAGTTGAACATTCAGACAAAGGGGACATGCTATAGATGACACATGCCACTCGTTCGTACATTTTTGTACAACATAAACACAAAGAAAATCACAAACTGGGAGATTGAATATGTATAATTCCCAAACTATTTTCAGCATCTGCATTCGGACTTGCATTTCATTAAGTGCACATGCTGGTAGTTGTGCTTCTAAAATCGTTTAAGCAAGAATCGTCTAGGATAAGATCTGTTAGAAATAATTTTGCTTAAAGAGCGGTAATCAAGCCGAGATTGGACTTCCAACTAACAGGAGCATGATTGCATAGCATCATATCGTCTTTGCTTCCTCGCACATGAAGACTACTTTGCTGCACATATCTGTAGCACATTTACAGGACAAAAAAGGCATGGTTGTAGGAGAGCGGCCGTCCTGAACGCAGCGGCAGATGATCGCAACTATCCAACCGGTCGTCCAGGCGAGGTGATCAGTGCGCTAAAGTTCGTTCAGACCAGGAAAGTGGACATACATCGGTCGATACATGTGAATACCCTTGTCCTTGTGGGGTGCACATCTGACGCAGAGGAGACCTGTCGAGCAGAGCGTGCATTTTCTTTACTCCGCAGGCCCAGTACTGATTTTTTAAAGTTGTCTGGACGACGCAGTCTGGGGGCCCTGTACGACGGCTGTACCCCTGTCCCGCGTCTCACATCAATTCCCTTTTTGGATTGAGGGCAAAGACTACAGAGAACCGGCAACAAATTGGGCGCTCGAGGTCTGTTTGGATCTAATCATGCCGATCCCCGGAGCGACGACGCCGGCATTGGCCTCTGGGTGAGTTAAATTCTGCTTCTATCCTTGTTCTTCGTTGACTCTAGGGCTTACGAGCTTGCTCCGCGCGCTGGTACTGCAGATCGACGGGGGCGACAACCGATTCAGTGGTGCGTGAGGTGGCGTACGTTTTGGGCGCCGCCGGTCCGGCCGTGGCCGATTCGGTCCTAGGCGTGGACTCGCCAGAGATGCGGCCGTTGGATCAGGGCCGGGCGCTTCTGGGCCAGGTTGGGGCCTTGTCTGATGTCGAGTTCTCTAGTGCGTTCAATTCTGGGGGCGGATGTGTGGCGTCGGCAGGCGCCGGCGACGGGGCGCACACCTTCAACTCATGCAGCGCGATTCAGTCCTTCCGACCCGGGGCACCTTGGGCACAAGATGAATGGCAGCGGTGTTGGAGTTGCCCGGCCATGACGAGCAGACGAGGAGCTCCGGGACATCTCGGCACAGCGGCGATGGATGAGGACAGCAGGATGCTTCTGCGTGGTGGAAAAGGACGTTGCCACTTGCCAGCGATCAGTACTACTGCCGTTCGTCGTGGTGGAAAAAGTTTTTCGTCCTTTCGCCTGCGAGCGTACTGGGCGTGTCAGGTTGTACTGTCAGGCAGTTTGGAATACACATATACGCTACATATCGCTGTCCAACGTTGGCCTATACTCTAACTAGCACTCTCGGCTGATTCGAATCGCGACGGCACGCGCGCCGTTGATGCGGTGCGTGCAGATGCCACTGCGTTCATGGATGCACTTCTCATGGTTGTAGCACATATATGTATGGAAGATAGGAAGGGAAGATGCATGTACATCAGAACAGAGATAAGAGAAACAACCTTAAATAAATTCAGGGTCTCGCTTTGTTTTTTCTCTTTCTTTGGGCTTGTTGAGCTGTGCCCTCAGCAGAACCTTATGACTTTGTTGTGGTACTTGGGTGTGTGTGTGTGGACTTGGTGTGGTTGTATGTCCTTTGGCGGTCTGCTTTATCTATAAAGCGGGGCGAAAGCCTTTTTCGGTAATAAATTCAGAGATAGCAGTTGTTTCTGCCTGTTTCTGAATCAAACAATGGAGAAGTGCCAGGGTGTGTTGAGTTTGACACGAGGATGCTCTATCGTTCTTGGTTTCTCCTTACTACATCAGAGAGCTGCTATCTGTTTCTGAAGCAAATAATGTGGACGCATAAGGGTCTGTTGAGATTGACGCGTGTCTTCCAAAGCACATACTGGGACACGCCGGGGTGCGAACACACTCCTGACTCCACGCTGCAGCAGCTCGACGTCATGGCTGGTCCTCGGACCTCGGATGGAGACCATCTCCTCTCCCACACCACCTGTGGCACCTTCGTCATCTCAAGCTCGCCAGGGCTATTGTGGCTCCGTTTTTCTTCTCCCAGGAGCTCGCCAGGTTGAGCTCGTGCACATCAGATGCAACACACACACCCCACTTGCTATTTAAAGGGCCAACTACAGAAAGAGCATCACACTTTCAGTACATGACTGACCATGTCAATTCTGAAGAAACTGAGATGATGTGACATTACCTGTCGAGGTTCAGGGAGGCGTCATCATCGACGTCCGTGACGGCGAGGCAGAGGGATTTGGGGAGCCAAACAGGGAGAGTAACACGGAGGCGCCGGTGTCGGGGTCATCATCGAAGATAGAGGCGGTTAGGTTAGCCGGGCGGCCGCGCGCGGGGGCGGAGCAACGATGCATCGGTGGATGTTGGAAAGAAGGAGAGCCAGATGGGATCCGGTTGTGCTGTGGCGGTGTCAATCAGTAGAGGAAGTGATCCGTACTGGACGACAGCAACGATGGCTCAAGGAGAGGCGAGATGGGGGAGAGGCGAGTGAGAGAGATGTGTGCGTAGGTGTTCTAGGCGTTGGTGGGAGAGTAAAAAACCAGCGTGGAGCGTTGGATGGATATGAGGCAAAAAAACCAGACGAAAATAGATGATGGTGGGAGGCGAGGTGAAAAAAAATCCGTGAAAGAGAAGCTACCAAGTCCGCCTTTAGGAGTAGAGATAGTACATTGAACATTGGGATGGTATAATAATTAGGACTCAGTTGGGCAGATGACCAAAGTTTAGGATTTGGGCGCCGGCCAGGTCCGGGTGGGGATGATGATCAAATTGGAGGTCAAGGACAATAATTTAATTTGGAATTTGGGATTTCTGAGGGTTAGGATGCACGGCAAGCCGGTAACTTCTCTTCAGAGTCCAGACAGTCGGGCGAAGGAGATGAGTACACAACTATGGCACTAGACCTGGTAGTTTTCAGACAAGTGCTTGTGGGTTGTACTTGTACATGAAGTGTGTGCATGGGTTGTCCATGGGTTTTTAGTCTTCACCTCTTTGGACCTGGATAACAATGTTTGTAACTAACCAAACTAACCTTTCTTAAAAGAAAACCGGCCGAGTAGTCCTCTAATCACAACCATTAATTTGCTTTAAATAGCAGACGAAAAAACTCCATCAAACCATAGAAGCACTCTATTTTGTACAGTACATAAATGATCATATCTTCTTCACACATTTCTGTATATATGTATCTATATCAATATTTATAGTACCATGATCTTTTTAAGAACTATTAAAAGCCCACAAGTTTGCAAAATTGCAAAGCGGTGCATATGAGCCTATATATATATTCCCAAAATCTGTATTGAATTGATATATGTTGATCCTAATTCGTATGGTCGTAGCTAGAAAAACAAGCACAGCAAAATGATCGAACTTTCAGGGAATGTTAGAAATTTATTATTGCTAGAGCAACCGGCACCGCAGCAATCTTCCATTTTTCTCAACTATTGATCTACACAGTTACAGTTGTATTCTGATGCAGAAATCCATAGCTCAGTAAAATCTAGTGTTTGATCTAAACAGAAACAACATGATGAACAGGAGAATTACTTTAACACTGGTTCAGAATATCATCGCGGGTTCAGGGTGGTGCCATTACTCTGAAAAATTAGCAACCTGACCTGGGAGCCATCCAAGGTGACAGCCCTGGTATCCACGACGCGCGACCTCTTGAAGAGCGCGGCGACGGCGGCGGGGTCCTGCTGCCAGTCGACGGCGAGGGCGATGGCGCCTCCGTCGCGGACAGCGCGCTCGGCCTCCGCGGCGACGCGAGCCGGGAAGAGCGCGCCGGAGATCCCCGCCGGGTCGTCGGAGAAGATGAGATCGAAGGCGCCGTCAGAGAAGGGGAGGCGGTGGGGGTCTGCGCGACGGACGAGCGGCGGGAAGTCCACGAGGTCGATCCCGGTCACTTCGCTTACCCCCGCTGCGTGGAGCGCGTCGACGGCGTTGCCGGCGCCGGCAGTGAGGCAGAGGACGCGGGAGGAGTTGGCCAGGAGGCGGAGGCCGTGTAGCGGGGGGAATACGGAGGACGCTAGCGCAGTGGAGCGGCGGCGCCAGCGAGAGGATGAGCGGAGCTTTGCGAGCCGGCGGTCCGGGGGGAGGACGCGGCGGGAGGCGGCGTCGCAGGAGTTGCGGGGGAAGGGAGAGAGGGGGATGGTGTGGGACGCGGGGAAGCAGGGGGTGGAGGCGTGCCGGACGAGGTACAGGAGGAAGAGCGTAGCCGCAGCGGCGACTGCGATGGAGGCGCGGGTAGCCAGCCGCTGGACTCGCTGATCCACCGCCGGCGGCGGGTGCGCGGTGGAATCGGCCATCTGTTGGCGTTTTGATCATGCGCGTCACAGGATGATCGGAGTTTGTTGGGATTCTCTCGGCCGGGCAATTCTATGGACACATACTCTGTATGGGCCTTACAATGAACATACCTGCCGTACACTTGAAAAAAGGACCACAAGCACAGCGCTGTTAAGATCATCATTTCAATTTCTTGTGTCAATTTCTTGTCTCAGTCTGAAGAAGTACAAACGGAACGTGCGTCCTATTCCCCACGTAGGGCAGCGTAAGAAAATTGTTAGCATAATGATCAAAAGATGTTTGATACCATTGGCAAAAAACATGTTTGTGACATTTAAAGAGAATTCATGTGTTTCAAAAAACATGTACTACTCATGACATGAAAATATGTTTGTACAATGTAAAAAATGTCTGTGAAATTCAAGAAAATGGTTAGTACTATTCAAAAAATGTGTTACATTTTAAAAATGTTCACGTGTTTCTAATATATATTCGTGACATTTAAAAAATGTTATAGAATGTACAAAAATGTTTACATAGTTTAAAAACTTCATATCACTTAAAGAAATACTTCAGCATGTATTTTAAAAAAATTATCAACATGTATTTAAGAAATGTTTAACACATTCGAAAAAATGTTCGAGAATGTTTGTTTCAAAAAATGTTAACCGTGTGTAAAATAATGTTTCAAATGTATACGAAAAATGTACAATGTTTATGGAAAAAGTATACATCAAAACATATATTTGAAAAAAAAATGTTACCATGTATTTGCGAAATGTTAAACATGAATATAAAATGTTCCTAACGTGTACAAAAAATATACAATGTGTATGGAAAAAGTAGACACATACTAAAAAATAAAAATAAAAAGTAAATTTTTTAAAAAATGAAGACAAAAAACAGAAGAGAGCCAAGAAAATTGAAACCCAAAAGGAAAACGGTTAAAACGCGACATACAAAACTGCAGTGGGGGATGGCCCTATGTGATGCTTCCTTCTCCAACCTCCCTCATCATCATCCGCCCAAGAGTTTGACTAGGGTGGCGGTGGCTATGTCATGGTGGTGTATGCCTGGGCGACGACCCTTGGGGATTCGCCCCGGGGATGTGGCTGGCAAATGTGCAAGGTGGCCGCATTGTCGAATAATCAATAATATATGATTCTGTGTATCGACTGACGCAGATGCCTAGGTTGATCCTTCTTTTTGGCAAATAAAAACTTTTAATGGGACTATTCCTACGATTTCATATATTACAACCTAGACAAGCAATCTTCTTGAGGCGTTGGAGGCAGGAAGGACACGGCTGGCTGCGGCGTCGCTGAAGCA